CGGATCTCTGTGAGTTCGAGACCAGCCTGGTCTATAAGAGCTGGTTCCAGGACAGCCTCCAAAGCCACAGAAAAACCCTGTCTCAAAAAACCAATAAATAAATAAATAAATAAATAAATAGTTTAACACCCAAATAGAAGAACATGTTTTTAATAGTTGCTTTACTTTAGTTTAAAACTGAATCTCGATATGTAACCCAGGCTGACCTTAAATTTACCATTCTGCAGCCTGAGCCTTCCAAGTGTTGAGATTATAAATGCCACTATGCCCATAGTTCACTCAGAAAAGCAAAACAAACCAGAAAGTCACAGCTGTCTTGTCCCTTAAACAAAACACATCCTTACATGCAGGCCCTCAATTGAGTTGGCCTCATGACTAGTGGGAGCTATGGTACCAGTTTCAGCACCCACAATACCAAGGTTCAGTCCTGCAGTTTGCGCTCGCACTTTTTCTCCAGTTCAGCCATCTCCTTAAGGACCAAGGCTACACTGTACCGCAGCTCCTGGAATTTGGCGATGGGAACCTCGAAGCGGTGTGCAGACCCATCGGTGAGCTTCAGCTGCATGAGAACACTCGGTTGCAGGGAGCGGGACTGAGTACTTGTGGAGATGGCCACATCTACCCGCCACCGGAAGTAAGACATGTGGGGCAGCCAGGACGCCTGTTGTTGGGCCACTGAGTCGAGAACAGGGCGCTGACTCCCAAATACCAAACTGGCTAAATCTCCAATCAGATCTTGAGGGATGCCAAGTTCCTGGAGCTCATCCTGGAAGGCTTCTGGCTTCAGACTGGCAGGGGGCCGCCGGAGAGCTTGCTGGAGCAGTGTGTGTGTGCCTGCCAACAGGACGGCCAGACGCTCCTCTGACAGGTTGGCACTGGCACCGAGGTGCTGCACGGCTTCCCTGCAGTCTTTTCCATGCAGGGCCCCCACAACAAGCTTCAGCAACTTTCTGAAGGTGCTCCTGTCCAAGTCCCTCATGAGCTGAGCCACTGCCGCCACTTGTGGAGAGGGCTGGGCCCCCAGAAAACTGACCCGGCCACTGTGACTGTCGGCTGGATGGTGCAGGTACGGGGCTGCAGCCCCCAAAGCAGACATTCTTGCTTCCCCTTTCCTGCTCAGTCCGAAGAGAAGGTCCTAACCACAGCTGCCTGGAGACAGGAAGGAGAGACAAGTGACTCCCTGGCCAGGAGCTCCATGTACCAAAAGATGACGGTCTATGTGCGGCCCCATCCGCCTATCACTGTCCACATGAACTACCAACTGGGACGCGTGCTTGGGCGGTGGCGCTGAGACCGCATGGCAAAGGAGCCCACCTGAGTCTAGAAGGGAGGCCTCCCAGAGAGGAGCGGTTGACAGGGACGCCTAAGTCCTACGTAAGCACTATTAGTGAATGTGGGCAACGCAGCTGAGACCAATCCCCGACTCAACCCCGAATGCTAAAACAACAGCTCTGGAAGACCTAATTTCACATTGCAAATATAAACCAATCCTTTAAGCCCTCGGCACCTGGAAGAAGCGGTCCGATAGTAGCTTGCGGCGGCTGGCAGAAGCAGGAAGTTGGCCGGGCCTCAGGAAGGGCCCAGAGACACTTCCGGGACACTCTAGGATAGCACGATAGAGGCCCTCGATGGTTCTCGGAGCCGCCCGCATGCGCCGGAGGGCAGCGTTGTCCCCTGACTCTGACGCTTGGTTTTTACGGAAGAGGAAGCAGAAGTCACTAGTTTATTTAGCTTCCGGGATCGGACTCAAAGTTGCCGCTGTCCTGCGCGCAAGCAGTCTAGTGTTAGGGGCACACGCTAGAATTGTTGTAGAAATGTTGTAGCTGGTGCTACCGAATTGCAAATTTTAAAATAGTTAATGACCCAGGCAGAGACGCACGTCTTTAAAACCAGCGCTCAGGCGGGACCTGGTGGCGCACGCCTTTAATCTCAACATTTGGTAGGCAAAGGCAGGTGGCTTTCTATGAGTTCAAGGTCGGCCTGGTCTACAAAGTGAGTTCCAGTACAGCCAGGACTGTCGCACGGAGGAACCCTGTCTTAAAAAACCAAAACAGCAACAAAAACAACACGGGGGTGGGGGAATACACGCAGACAGATCTGTGTGAGCTCTACGTCAGTGTGGTCTAGATACGGAGTTCCCGGCCAGCCAAGGCTACAAAGCGAGACCCGGTGTTAAAAACAAATAAAAAAGTTTCCCAAGGAGGACAGGGGTGCGGGTGAGGGAGGTAGTAAACCTGTGTATGTTGTGGACAGTATAGCTCCATAGACCTTTAATTGGGGGTGGGGGCTAATTAAATGAGCAAAACATTGGATAGATGTCTCATCAGGGATGATATAAATGGCTAATGACCCAAACCTGATGATACAAGGCAGTGATCCCAAGAGGCAGGGCAAGATGATCATACATCAAAGGCAGGACTGTCTGGGCTCCAGAGTGAGTTCAAGACCAACCTGAATAACTCTAGTGAATTGCTTTATCGAAAAAAGATTGGAGGAAGTTGGGTGTTGTGGCGCATGTCTATAATCCCAGCACTTGGAAGGCAAAGGCAGGCAGATCTCCGAGTTCCAGGCCAGTCAGTCAGGGCTACACAGAGACCCTGTCTTTAAGTAAATTAATAAATAGTGATATATATATATATATATATATATATATATGTATGTGTGTGTGTGTGTACATAAAATAGATGTGTATATATGTATATATATACACTTATGTTCAATAAACAAATAAAAGAACGTGGTCACCACTCTAAAAATTAGAATCACAATAAGGATCTATTTCCCACCCTTCAAATAAGCAGGTTGATCACATCAAATGCTGGCATGTGTGTGCTGTGCAGTAATTGCAGCACCCGTGCTTGTCTATGGAACTAAAGCAGAATAAGTACTTGGGAGAGCTGTCTAGAGGCTTCTTTTAAATTTAAATATATATGGGTGAAGGGAATAGTTCTGTGGGAGAGGTTTGCCTAACAATCTCCGACTGTCTGCCTCCCAAGTGCTGGAATTAAAGGTGTATGCCACCACAGGGTGCTTGCCTCATCTTCTGTTCTTTATCCTTAGCCCGCCTCCAAACCCAACTTGAGCAGCCAGGGTGCTTTACAAAACACGACCCCAGAGTAAGGGTGTGGCTCCATGGCAGGTGTAAGGCAGGTCCAGAATTCCATTCCAACTTAAAGCTCTGAGAAGAGAGGCCTGTAGCCGGCGGTGGTGGCACACGCCTTTAATCCCAGCACTCGGGAGGCAGAGGCAGTCGGATCTCTGTGAGTTCGAGACCAGCCTGGTCTACAAGAGCTAGTTCCAGGACAGCCTCCAAAGCCAAAGACAAACAACAACAACAACAAAAGCTCTGGGGAGAAAAACTGAAGAAAACCTAAACAGTCCCTGTAAGATACCCCTAGTGGTGTCCCATATTCTGGAATAAAATGCAAAGTCCTGTCTGGGCTTACAAGTTTTTGGCCCATTCTCCACTTTCCCATCTCATTCCCTGTACCCCCACCGTCACGTCTTCTGTTACCCTGTCTTGGGCCATGAGGCAGTGGTCCACAGCCTGAGCCATTCCCCTCCTGCCAGTGGTCTCAAAAGGTCTGTCAGGCAGACATTCAGGAGCAGAACTGAAGGACACACACAGGGATAGCACAGCTCTGGCTTGCGGTTCCTTCTCTTGGTCCAGTCTGACCAGTTCTCTGCACTTCCCTGGAAAGTGGAGAATGGGGTAGGTCTGCTGTTTGTGAGGGAAAGGATACTCATTGCTTCCTTATCCTCTACCAGGGATGTTAACATACATGTCTGCACATTAGTTTTTTTTAGTTTTTGAGACAGAGTTTCTCTGTATAGCCTTGGAGCCTCGCTTGGTAGCCCAGGCTAGCCTCAAACTTGTGATCCTCCTGCCTCTGCCTCCTTCAGTAAATCCTACCAGCCTGTGCCACCACAACCAGTATTTTTATATCTACCCTATGGTAGTGCATTTTCATATAGTTAGCTCTAAATTTTAGGATGGGATCTGGTTCATACAGAATATCCTGAACCCCAAAATGACGTCAAGCCCTTGTCAAGTAGTTATGGTATTTCCATTTTATTTTTATATGCATTGGTATTTTGCCTGCATGTATGTATGTGTGAGAGTGTCAGATCCCCTGGAGATGGAATTACAGGTAAGTGTTGTTGTTATTTTGCTTAAAGTAGAAGTCTGGAGATGGAGATGGAACATGAACTGTGGAGGGTACATTAAATACCCTGTAGTTTTATTACAGGGTGAGAGAGCGAGAGGGGGAGAGAGAAAAATGGAAGAACATGTCCCGCGCGCTCTGTATTTCTCGCCAGCAAGAAATCATACACGGGACACTCGGATCCTTCTGCAGACAAGCTTTAATGCATCTTGTGAGGGGAGAGCATAAGCTTCCCAGAGCGGAGACACTAAACCAAGAAAACCATCCCTTATATAGGCTGACCAGCCGCCTGGGACGTGTTACCCTATGAATGGCTTCAGCTCCTCAGGCAAAAATGAGCCACGGGATAGGCAGAGATCAAAGGAATGGAGATTACCCAGCGCCTGTGAAGTAATTTACAACTTGGTGTCTTCAGGCACCTATTATTGTAATGGATAATGTAGGAACCGGCTTCCTACAAGAACAGAGCAGGGCAGAGAGTAAGAGAGAAGAATTAGTGGTTGACCACCAGAAACAGAGAGAGAGAGAAAGAGAGATGTGGGCGCAGGCTTAAAAAGGGGGAGCCATGCGCAGAGTCCCTATGAAGTTATACAGCTCCAAACTGGATAATGAGTGACGGACTTGGCGTGTCACTGTGCAAGCCTCACTCATGGTCAGGGGGCAGGGTGTGTCTCTTAAGGAGGTATGGGCAGGTCAGCATTAATATCTGAACCTTTCAATTCCACCTTTACTTATTATTAAAAAGGTGGGATGTTAGACATGGCAGGTTAGGGAATAAGGGTGTTGAGTTCTTAAGACTGCTTCCTGCTGTCCTCGGGGGGAGTTGACCTTCTTTGGGGGACCTGAGAAAGCTGAGGTGCTGCCACATCCTGGGCTCCCTGGGGTAGCTGATTGCTCCATTGAAGTCCCGGCTGTTTGGAACTCTGGCACCTCTTAGACCTGGCAAGATGTTGGCAAAGCACAGGACAAGGTTAAGTTTAGGAAAAATTTTTTCTTAGGTCCTAGTACTTGAGGGGAGGATTGTAAGATGAGGGAAGGGTTCCCAAAGATGAGGGAGGGGTTCCCAAGGTTTCCCAGGATGAGGGAAGGGAATCCGGGACCAGGGAAAGATTGAATAATATATGGAGTGAATCTGACCTGTTTGTGTTAGCCCCAGGCCAGGCCACTGTGAGCCGCAGGCATCTGTGTGGAGAAGAAACACAGTAAAGGGGCAGCAGAGACAGAACAGGAAAGTGAGGGACATTTTGAACAGGAGCAAAAGAGTTTTAGCTAAACAGGACATTCCCAGGTGAAAGGAGGTTCCCACAGAGAGGTAGAAGCTTCCAGTATGCTGACAGTAATTAGAGATTCTGTAAAATATTGGGATCCAGAGAACCATTTGGTGTCCAATGATACTGTTACCAGCCCTTACCAGGTTTGACCTGGGAGGAATGACAGACTCAGCAAGTTGGTTTTGAGTATATAAGCTTTACTTCACACTTATGTCAAAGTAACACACACAAGCATAAGCAAACAATCCTAAGAAACACAGACAATAGGCTCATAGAAGGGGACTTGTGTTCCTCTGAATTCAGGCTGTGGAGTCTCCCTGAGGGCCCAAATTGGTATCAGGTTTCAAATGGGCAGCTCTCCGTTTAATGGAATGATTGTTTCAGGTTAGTGGAGGAGAGCTCCAGGACGTAGAGTTGTAGTACACTCTAAAATTCCTAGTTCTGAGCTGGTTGCTTAAATAGCTTATTAAATCTTGCTAATCACACTTTGCCACACACTACACATTTTCACTTTTATCTCTGGGTAGTGGGCCTATGCTCCTGAGGGACCAAAAATTGAAATTAATAAAAGTTTAAAAACTTAGGCCCTGAAAGGGAATGTCTAATGATAAAGGAAAACTTAACTCCTTAAATCAGGAGTGCATGACTGGCACCTGATCCCCGGCTCTCAGAGAAGGAGATGTAACTGTCCACCACTCCTGTCAACATTCCTTTGCTAATTGCTGGTCATAAAGATCCCCCAGCGGAGGGGTGGGGGATAACTGACAGACCCTGTGCAAGCCCATGCCCTGTCTTAGCTCAGTCAAATGTATCTTCCTTAAAATATGTAGTTACTGCTTGACTCTGTACTTTGTATGACCTTAAGTAACCATGGAAACTCTATAATTTGTGGCCTTCAACCTTATGGTCTGCCCCTTTAAAAGCTTCTCTTTTTGGCTGGGTGGCATCTCATTTGCCCACCATGCAGTGAGATCCTAGCTGGCCAGCTTGAAATAAAAAGAAACCTTTTGCTTTTGCATCAGAGTGTCGACTCCTTGGGTTAGTCTCTGGGCTCCTCGAATCTGGCACAACACTCCCTTTCTTTTCATCTTTCTTCAGCCAGGCCTTTGCCTATCTGATTGTAAACTTCTGTCTTAATCTCCCTCCAGCAAGGCCTTTGCATGCATGGTTAAAGGCTCCTTACAGAGACTCATTATCTAAAGGATATTTGGTCTTTTTTTTTTTTTTTTTTGTGCTGAGGTGAGTCTGGATGCCTTAACAAACAGCATTAAGTGAAGGGGTTTTAAATTTTCCAGAAGACATCCCAGCGGAGTGGATGGGCTTATCTGTTTCATTGGTTTATTTCCCATGGCTGCAGCAAATGAGAAACAGCAAAATCCACTCTCCGGATGCTCTTGTCAGCCCGGGAGCATTGCCAGGGCAGGGCCTGAAAAGGACTACTCAGCAGTTCAATATTGAAAAAGGGACCCAGCGGTTTGAAAGCGGCTAGCCGCTGAAGGAGCCAAAATATCTACCAATGGAACTCACCTGTGGGAAATGTACCATAAGCGATCGTCAGTAAGAGGGATAGACTGTAACCTTAAAGGTCATGTGTGTGTGTGTGTGTGTGGGGGGGTGTTTCCTCCGCCCCCAAGAACACCAGAAGGGTGCCGGACACTCAACAGTTCGGGGAGACATTTACACCAACTGAGAGGGGGTTCCCTTACCGAATTATTGCTGCTGTTGCATGCAGAGTCCCAGCGAACCTGTGAGATGGAGGGTGGGCCGTTGGTTCAAGTATTAGGGTCCCCGTGTGCCAGGCGGTGGTTGACGTTAAGGCTGGGGCGCCTAATCCAGGTCGGGTGCCAAATGTTGTTATTTTGCTTAAATTAGAAGTGGAGAGATGGAGATGGAACATGAACCGCGGAGGGTACATTAAACATACAGGTTTATTATGGGCAGCAGGGCAGGAGAGCGAGAGGAGAGAGAGAAATGGAAGAAGAGAAGAGAGCAGGGTAGAGAGTAAGAGAGAAGAATTAGTGGTCAACCACCAGAAACAGAGAGAGGGGAGGGGGGATTTCATGCGGGTCCTGGGAATTAAACCCAGGTTCTCTGGGAAAACAGCCAGTGCTCTTAACCATTGAGCCATTGAGCCATTGCTCCAGCTCCTGGCCAAGGTATTTCTAAACCTAGCATTGGTGTATAGCTAATGCTGGCCATCTCCGCTGCATTCAGGAACCATATCTGCCTCTCAAAAGAGGGGGATTAGGTCCTGAGTGACTATAGTGGGTGATAAATTTTATGTATGGTGAAGGGGTGTAACTCAGTGGTAGAGCACTTGAATAGCACACTTAAGCCCTCTGTTATTAACTCACAAAGGAAAATAAGGGATAAGGTGAAGCAGAAATAAATTCTAGCATCTTTGCTTTTGGCTGCCTTTTAAATGAGCTACAAGATTTTCTTATTGATGAAGCCACATTAAATAACTGATCCAGAGGGAAAACATTTTGGGTGACTTTTTTATCTTATTTAAATACATGGTATAGAAAACTTTTTGCATCTGCTTGAGTGCTGGGATAGCAAGTATGCACCAGCAGACCTGGATTTGTGTTGGGAGCCAAATCTCAGGGCTCTTGCCCCAGGTTGGCGTCCTGCAGGTAGGGACAGATTTGCTGGCTTCACTTAAGCTGTTGCTTAGAAGGGATTCCAAGGCTTTCCTAATACCAATTTCAAATCTGTAGGTCAGAGATCCACTCTGAATTCAAAACACAGGCTATACTTTGAGTGTGACACACACTTTATTTAGTGGGTAAATGCCAAACATTACAGAAACAAAACAAAATGGTTTCAACAGTAGAATATTCTTAAGAAAAAATCTGAATCTCCCTCAGCATTCTCAAGTTTCTGTTAGCATAAATTACCCAAATAAAATAAGGCTTCAGGTTTATTCACAGTTACATATTTATATAGTGCGGTGGTTTGAATGAGAATGCTCTCATAGGCTCATCTGTATGAATACTTGTCCTCGGAGGAACTGTTTGGAAATTATTAGAAGGTGTGGTCTTGGAGGGGGTGTATCACTGGGGGTGAGCTTTGAGGTTTCAAAAGACTCCATGTCCAGTTAGTCCTCTCTGCCTAGCAACTGTCTCAAGATGTGAGCTCTCAGCTACTCCCCAGCACCCTGCCTACCTGCTTGCCTCTGCCATGCTCCCCACCATGACGGCCATGAATGCTCTCAGGACCTGTAAGCCCTAAATAAGTACTTTTGAAAGTTACCCTGGCCAAGGTGTCATCACAGCAATAGAGAATTAACCAAGACCTTTAGGTAAAGGACTTATCCCACATGAATTTTTTGGTGCTGAGTGAGCCTTGAGCTCCGATTAAAAGCTTTGCCACAAGCATTACATTTGTAAGGCTTCTCTCCTGTGTGAATCCTCTGGTGTATAATTAGGTGTGAACGCCACCTAAATATTTTATCACAGTCATCACACTGGTGCAATTTTTTTACAGTGTTCACTTTCTTAGCATTCAAAAAGGAGCTACTTTCAACAGTGTTTCCAAATTCACAGTACCACTTGGCTCGAGTGTGGATTCTCTGGTGTTCAATAAGGTATGAGCTCCGGCTGAAGGCCTTCCCACACTCACTACACTGATAGGGCTTCACTCCAGCATGAATTATCTGGTGCTGGAAAAGAGTTGAATTTTGACTGAAGGCTTTTCCACACTCACTACACTTATAGGGCCTTTCCCCAGTGTGAACCCTCTGGTGGATAGTGAGCTGTGTGCTCATACTAAAGGCTTTTCCACATTGGATGCATGCATATGGCTTCTCTCCCTTATGAATCCTCTGATGGTAAATGAGACTGGAGCTCTGGCTGAAGGCTTTCCCACAGTCGTCACACACATAAGGCTTCTCTCCCGTATGAATTCGCTGATGTTGAATAAGATGTGAGCCCTGGACAAAGCCCTTCCCACATTCATCACATTTAAATGGTTTTTCTCCAGTGTGAGTTCTCTGATGGCGAATGAGCCGTGAGCTACAACCAAAGGCTTTTGTGCACTTGTTGCACTTATAAGGTCTCTCTCCAGTATGAATCAGCCTGTGCTGACTCAGGCGAGAGATCCACCTGAAAGCTTTCCCACACTCCTCACACTTAAATGGCTTCTCTGCAGTGCTATTTTTCTCATGGGCAGTGAGGCTTGGGCTTTCTGAAGCTCCTGGCATTTGAGATTTCTCCCCAGTGTGCATTCTCTGATGCTGGGCTAGAGTTGAGCTCTGGCTGAAGGCCTTGCCACACTTATGGCAGGGGTAGGGCCTCTCTCCAGTGTGAGTCCTCTGATGTCTGACCAGCTGTGATTGCTGGCTGAAGGCTTTCCCACACTCCTGACAACTATAGGGCCTTTCTCCTGTGTGGATTCTCTGATGATGGATAAGGCTTGAGCTCTGACCAAAGGTTTTCCCACATTCCTCACATCTGTAAGGCTTCTCTCCAGTATGAATTCTTTGATGCTGTATCAGTTTGGAGCTCAAACGGAAAGCTTTCCCACAATCAACACACTTAAATGGTTTCTCTCCAGTGTGGATTCTCTGATGCTGACTGAGCTGTGAACACAGCCTGAAGCCTTTCCCACATTCCTCACATTCATAAGGTTTCTTCTCAGGGCAGTGACTTGTGTGTTTCTCCTCTAAGCAGACAGAGGATTTTTTTTGGCACTCTTGACATCTGTATGGTTTTTCCTGCACATTCACTCCCAGATACGGATCCAGGGTCAAAGCTGTTCTAAAGACTCTACCACACACTTCACAGTTTTCTGATGATCCTTTCACACTGTCTGTCTGTTCAGAAGGCTGATAACCCAGAACAGTGGCCTGTAGCTCCTTACATTCCTGGACAGTGTCCTTGGGAGCCATAGTCTCATTAGTCAAGTGATGTTTCTGAAAAAGTGAGCCACTCACTCTTAGTCCCAGGCTACTTGAAAAATTCTCTGACCAGACCTTAGAATCCAAATTGTCTCCAAAGCCAGGAAGCTGACTTTTGGGAATGTTTGTATACTCACAGGTCTGCTTGTGATCAGTTCTAATAGCAGAATCTGAAATAAACACAAAGGAAAAAATGCTCCTTACATCTGAGGTCAGAGAAAGGGCAGAGACAACTAGGGGCTTGTGGGAATGTCAGCACTACAACACACACCAAGTGGAAAGTTGGCAAGGAGATATAAGGAGAAATTATTACAGTCCAGTTCGTTGGACGGTGATGATATGCTCATGTCTACAAGGCAGGGTACTGAGACCTTCATGTCCTAAAAGGATCCACAAGCAGTTTCACCCTATAGGCCACTGAGGAGGGAATATCTTTTTTTTTGGGGGGGGGTTTCCAGACAGGGTTTCTCTGTGGCTTTTGGAGGCTATCCTGGAACTAGCTCTTGTAGACCAGGCTGGTCTCGAACTCACAGAGATCCGCTTGCCTCTGCCTCCCGAGTGCCACCAACACCCGGCTGAGGAGGGAGTATCTTAGAATAAGCAAAACAGACTGGACAGAACAAACCTGAGGACAGAATGATAGTCAAGAATTCATCAGAGTGCCAGGTGGACTCTGGAGGCAGAAGCAGGCGGATCTCTGAGTTTAAGGCCAGCCTAGTCTATAGAGTGAGTTCCAGGATAGCCACGGCTACACAGAAAAACTCTGTCTCAAAAAAAAAAAAAAATATCAGAGCTGGTCAGAGCCCCCAAACATACTAGCTCGCAATTGAGGGAGGACAAAGGGGAAATTGACCAAAAAATAGACAGGAATGTTGACTGTGGCTAAAGAAGAGGTGGTGTCTTAGCAGGAAGAGCCCAGAGCAGAACTGGGTGCTCAGCCTCTCCATGGCTGTTCTCTAAGGCAGGCTTCTCTGGGGAGAACTCAAACTGCAAATCCACACCTGACAAGCCTTGCTATAGGTGTGAAGCCAGTTTTTACTGTCAATTTAGCCCAATCTAGGATTATCTGTGAAGAGGGTACTTCACCTGAAAACTGCCCAGATCAGATTGGCCGGTGGCCATCTGTGAGATTGTCTTGATTGATGGTTTATCATGGAAAGACCTAGCTCACTGTGGGCAGTGTCATTACTAGGCTGTTTAGTCCAGACTGCATATGAAAGCTAGCTGAACATCAACCAGACTACAAGACGGTAAGTAGTGTTCCTCCATTGTTTGTACTTCAGTTTCTGTCCTGACTTCCCACAATGACGGCTTTTGACCTGGAAATGTAAATTGAAATAAATCCTTTCGGGGCTGAGAGATGGCTCAGAGGTTAAGAGCACTGACTGATCTTCCAGAGGTCCTGAGTTCAATTCCCAGCAACCACACCTGAGCTCACATACCCATCCGTTATGAGATCTGGTGCCCTCTTCTGGTGTGCAGATATACATGAAAGTAGAATGTTATATACATAATAAATAAATAAAATCTTTAAAAAAAACAAAAGAAAGAAATCCTTTCCTTTTTAAGTTGTCTTGTAGTCAGAGTGTTTTGTCATGTGACACATAAGATCAGAAAACTAGGTCATTGCCCGAGTGACCATACCCAGTAGTTCACACCAATTTCTTCTTTGTATGTGTATGCAAGGGTCTGAGCACCCAGGACCAAGAAGCCTTCATGATATTTACTTTACTTGTAGAGTCTCCAGATCCACACAGGCTGCCTTCCTGTCCTGACCCCACAGGTTTCTCTTTGAACATTAATTACATGCCACATCACAGTTGAATGGACAAGTGTTTTGTGCCCTTGATTTTTTGTGGTATAGCCTTCCCAGAAGTGGTCATAGACCTAGCTGTGGTTCTTTCTAGGCTTGGTTCTCTGAAGTGTTCTTCAGTAGCCCAGCCTGGTCACAGGGACTCACCCCAGCTCTCTTATTCAGACCTTCTCTGTGACAGGGCCTGGGCCTCACCTGTCTGGTAAATCCATGGTGCCTCTGTCCCCTCTGCTCCCTGTAGGTCAAGGACCCATGGCTCTTGTCCTTGCTCCAGCCGAGAGATCAGTTCAGGCTTAAAAACCAGGAATCCTGCTGTGTGTGAGGCAGAGAAGGAAAGGATGGAAATATGACCAGGGCTCATCCCTGTTCCTAGTTTCCAGCCATGAAGAACAGGAGCTGCTAGATACAAGCAGAACCTATTCAGGAGGGTGATGAGGGATGAGGACCAGAACCTATTCAGGAGGGTGATGAGGGATGAGGACCAGAACCTATTCAGGAGGGTGATGAGGGATGAGGACCAGAACCTATTCAGGAGGGTGATGAGGGATGAGGACTTGGGTATAGAGCAGCCCCTTCTCTCTAGTTCCTTACACCAGACAGGAAGGAGCACCCAGCCTTCCACAGTCTTCAGGGAACACAGCCACCAAAGAAAAGGTGGATCTACTTGTGGTACAAAATGAGAGGGGAAGCTTAAGCCCAGGCCAGCATCACATTCTGCAAATCGCAGCTTTTTCTTCCCTCAGTTCAAAAGGGAAGGATACTCCAAGGGGCCAGGGTGGTCAAGAAACAACAGTTTAAAATTAGTATGTAATTAAATAAATGAAGCAGATTTCAAATCAAAGGAGTGGTCCCAGAGTCCCTTTATGGCCAGTTCATAAAAGTAGGGAAGGTGTTGATCTAATCAAGAATCAACTAAATGGGACTAGAGAGCTGGCTTAACAGTTAAGAGCACTTGCTACACTTCCAGTGAACATTTCCTAGCACCTACATGGCAGCTCTCAACTGTCTGGATTCCAGTTCTAGTAGGTATACAGACATACATACAGGCAAAACTCCCATACTCATGAAAAAAAAAAAAAGGTTGAGAGAGCTTCCTCAGGCTTCCCACAACATGGTAAAAGAGGCAGAGAGGTCTGCAAGATACATCAGGCATGTCTACCCTACAGCTCCCAAGTCACATGCAAAGACAGTTATGAATGTGGCCTATCACAAAATCATGAACTTATTTAAGATGTGAAGTCTTTTTGTTTTGGTAATCTAATTGTAAGGTTCTTGAACATGAACCTTGTAAAGGATATCATATCACAATATCAAAAAGTTAAACAGATGATGCAGCAATAGGTTCAAGCTTTAAGTATAGGTAGGGCCCCACAGATCAGAAAATAAACATACTTTTTTTTTTTTAAAAGAAGAGGGGTTGCTGGGGTATAGGTAGGGCCCCACAGATCAGAAAATAAACATACTTTTTTTTTTTTTAAAGAAGAGGGGTTGCTGGGCTGTGGTGTCGCACGCCTTTAATCCCAGGACTCGGGAGGCAGAGGCAGGCGAATCTCTGTGAGTTCGAGAACAGCCTGGTCTACAAGAGCTAGTTCGAGAACAGCCCCCAAAGCCACAGAGAAACCCTGTCTCAAAAAACCAAAAAAAAAAAAAAAGAAAAAAAAAAAAAAAGAAAAAAAAAAAAAAAAAAAAAAAAAAAAAAAAAAAAAAAAGAAGAGGGGCTAGAGATGGCTCAGTTAAGAACACTGGCTGCTCTTCCAAAGGTCCCAGCACCCACATGGCAGCTCACAACTGTAACTCCAAGATCTGACACCCTCACATAGACATACATACTGTCAAAACACCAATGCACATAAAATAAAAACAAATTAACAAATAAAAAGAAAAGAAATCTGACCAAAGCTAACATGAGAAAAGGAGAAAATATAATACACAATAGAAGCAAGTTTTTTTTTGTTTGTTTGTTTTGTTTTTCGAGGCAGGGTTTCTCTGTGTAGCTTTGGAGCCTATCCTGGCACTAAGTCTGGAGACCAGGCTGGCCTCAAACTCACAGAGATTCGTTTGCCTCTGCCTCCCAAGTGCTGGGATTAAACGTGTGCGCCACTAATGCCCAGCAACATGCAAGTATTGTTAGGTATAGTGTTTTCTTTTCTTTTTTGTTTTGGTGCCTCTGCCTCCCAAGTGCTGGGATTAAACGTGTGCGCCACCAATGCCCAGCAACATGCAAGTATTGTTAGGTACATTGTTTTCTTTTCTTTTTTGTTTTCGTTTTTCAGACAGGGTTTCTCTGTGTAGCACTGGCTGTCCTGGAACTCTCTTTATAGACCAGGCTGGCCTCAATATCAGGGATCCACCAGGTTCTGCCTCCCAAGGTGCTGGGATTAAAGTTGTGTGTCACCACCATCAGCCTCCTAGCAGCCAGGTGGTAGAAAGGACAGGCTGCCACTGTATACATGTGGGTATGGCTAGACTCTCAGCTAATCACTGCTGCAGCTGATCACTAGCTCTGTCACATAAACACATACTTTATTTACCCTGTACTGGCCAGGGGGGAAGGGTGGTAGCACACACCTTTAATTCCAGCACTTGGAAGGCAGAGGCAGGCGGATCTCTGTGAGTTTGAGGCCAACCTGTTCTAGAGTGAATTCCAGGACAGCCAGATCTGTTATACAGAGAAAACCTGTCTCAGACAAACAAACAAAAATTTACCCTGTATTTTTCAGAACTATCCTATGATGAATGTGATAATATACACTTATCATCTCAGCGCCTACTCAGGAGGCAGAGGCAGGAGGATCATTTACTTTAAGCTCAGGAGTTCAAGGCCAGATTGGACATCAGGGTGAGGAGCCCATCTCAAAAAAACAAAATAAAACAAAACAAAAAAATCATCGACTTGGTGCTGAAACATGAAGTTACTGCAGAAGGAAAAACTGTGAGAAGAGAATAACAGGTTTACTTTTGAAACTGGGTAGTTTGCCTAATGAACCACTGCAATTCCACTCATAGGCACATTGTAACAGTAGGTACAGTTTTTTTTTTTTTTTTTCTGAGAAAAGACAGAAAATGTAGGTAAGGCTGTTTGTTTTGTCACTAGGAGACACAAGAAAGCTTAGGCATTGACCCTCACAGAAGATAAAACCCTAAAGAAGAAAGAGAACACCATCATTCCTGGCAGGCCAGAACCCCCTAGGGAGTAGACATGGATGATCGAGCAAGAGGAAATCCTGGCCAATGTATTCTATGTTTCCTTCTTACACTGAGACATGTGATAAACTATATATGAGTCTGAGACAGCTCTTGCAGAGTACCAAGTAGTATCCTTTGTTAAAATTCTGATATGTACATTTAATAATGCACTTCATAACATGTCATCATGATCTTGGTGAAATCTAACACAAGATAGACTAAACACCTAAGTACAAGTCAGTGAGT